AGAAGCTGCTTTGCGAAGGCGAGGTTGATGCCCGAGCCAGCGCCTGTGATGACGGCATACTTGCCGGCGACGCTGAGGGCCATGATGGTGAGCTTGGGCCAGGGGGCGATGTGTGGATTTCTCAAGGCGATGGGGCTTCACAGATGGGAGGCTGGAGGAGGGCTGTTGGCTGTTGGCTGTGGGGGTCAAGTGGTGACAAGCTGTGGTCGTGACAGGCTGCAAAAGCGACCAACCCTGACTTCAAAGGACAGAGGAGGTCGTTCGAGGTCTGGGGTCGACGCTGAGACTTATGGCCGTTTCCCAGGATCCGGTCGGCTATCCACATCCGCAGACGGACCGTACATCCCATCGGCGGCGGGGGTCGATGTCGTTGGCTGGTCCTTGGGGTCAATCGCGGGGAAGAGGGGATCGGCCTTCTCGGCGCGCTAGTCAGGACTCTGCTGCTACGGCTCTTCCCTGACTCACGACTTGAATTCCAAGACATGCTGTTCTGGTCTCACCCAATAGAGTGCCTCTCACCAATTGGTCAAGTCTTGCTTTCATAGTGTTGAGTGTAGATTGCGCTTTTGCACATGTCCCTATATAGCCCTCGCCCCCTTTTCTTCGTCGACAGCCTCCGTCTTCCGGTCCATCATGCCATCCGTCCGCCGGTCGTCCTCATTATCCTCAGGCTTACCTTCGCGCGTCGCCCAGCCATCCACGTAGCGGAGCGTCTCGCGGCTCCAGATCTTGCTCATAAGATGCAGGCGTATGGGTACCAGGACAATGATGATGATGGGGAACCCCGGCGCCGCGACGGTCAGAGTGACGCCAAACACGATGCCAGTGAGGACGAGCTGGGTAATGGTGTAACTGTGAACGCCGAGCCACGAGGCACCTGAAGGCAGCTCGGGGAGGTCGGCGGGCGCGGTCACCAGGTAACCGATGCGGCTGAGAATCGGGTTGACAGACAGTGACTGGTATCCCATAAAGAGGAAGAGACCGGCGAGGACTGAGGTGGGCGTCAAGCCGAGGACATGCTGAAACGGCGGCGTGACAAAAATGAGGATGCCGACAGCCTGGATGAGGTGCGAGTAGCGCTGCTCGTAGACGCGCGTGACAGGCTTTGGGGGCGGCTCGCCCGGCTCGGGGTCTGTGAGAGCGCCCGGGTCTTCAATGACGCTGTGCATCAGCGACTCGGAGTGGAGCGGAGCCTGAGGAAGCAGGCCGTTGGCCGGGGGGATGCCCAGGATACCGCAGAGGATTGTTGTCGTGCCGAGGAGGGCGATGTCCCAAGCGTAGCCCCCAGGCTTCTGCACACCGTACCGCTTGGCTGTGCAGATGATGCTGCTAATCTCGTGATCAAAGTAGAAGAGGACGGTGATGATGAAGCCCGGGATGATGGAGATGAACACCCACTCGACGGGCACCTTCCAGAACTCGACGAAGAATTGGGTCCTTTCGGGGGACGAGGGCCGAAGGTTCTTCTGGACCATCAGCCGGTTGTGGTCGAGGGTGGCGAGGTCGCCGACATAGGGCATGCCGATGAAGAAGATGATGGAGATGGCGGCGGCGTACTCGGCCAGTCCCATGCGGATGTACCTGTGGAAAAGGGGCTGCCATGAATTGGCGGTCGACAGCAGAATGGCGAGGAGGCAGGTACCGGCGCAGCCAATAATGGCGTAGAGGAATGCGGCGATGGATACAATCTTCTTGGTGCGCTGCAGCTCGCGGACAGCCTTGTGGAAGTAAATGACACTGTTGAGCAGGGAGAAAATGTCGGCGCTAAAGTCAGTGACATACTGCATGGTCCAGTCGTGTGCGTTGAATATGGCGAGGAGGTAGTGCATCCAGCCGGCATGGATGAGCGACCAGGCCATGACGGGGAGAAAGGGGACCCCAAAGTTCTCCTCACAGAGTTTGTAGATGTTCTCGGCGAGAACAGTAAAGGGGCCCGTGACACCGAGGATGGTCAACGGCTGGCCCGAGAAGCTGGCAATGGTCAGGAGGGGTTCCGAGGGTACGTTTGCCTGGGGGGCGGGGGTCTGACGGCACACAGCAGAGGGTACGTACAGAGCGAAGATGATGCCGCAGAGACCAGTACTGAAAACGACTTCGATGGTTCCCCAGGATTCACCGGTCAGCACATAGAGGTCGCCGGCAAAGGTGATGCCTGGGAGCAGGTTGGTGAAGAAGACATAGACAGTACTCGCCAGCACGAGCTGGTTGAAGACGGTCCAGTCAGAGAAGTAGCGGCTGCGGATGTTGTGAAAATCGGCCGTGAGCAGGCGAAACGGCCTCAGCTTGCCGTGCTTCCCAAAGTAACCGTGACCCTTCTTCTTGCCTGCTTGAGGGACGTCGTGGGGCAAGTCATCGTTATCGCCGTGCGATGTTGCAAGGCACGGCTGGCTGAGTGTCTCCTTTTCGCCGGGGCCGGGACGGGTAGCCTCGTGGGATTGTGTCACCCCCAGAGCAATGTCATCCTGTTGGCCGATCGATGGCGGCGGCTGCCGGCCCGCATTGTCCGCCATTGTCCGGATGTTTGTGTTGCGTCTGCTTCGCCTGTC